CAGGAAGTTTCTCCTTAGTTCTAGGTTGCTTCTCTCTTTGGTTAGTTTCCACCCGTTGCTTCTTGTCCTGCCTTCATGTCCTTTGGAGAATAGCTTGACTCCCTCTTCTTTGGGGCAGCCCCTGAGATACTGGAAGGCTGCTATCATGTCCCCCCTCGTCCTTCTCTTCGTTAAACTAGACATACCCAATTCCAGCAGCCTTTCCTTATATGTTTTAGCCTCCAGTCCCCTAATCATCTTTGTTGCTCTTCTCTGCACTCTTTCTAGAGTCTCAACATCTTTTTTACATCGTGGTGACCAAAACTGGACACAGTATTCCAAGTGTGGCCTTACCAAGGCCTTGTAAAGTGGTATTAATACTTCACGTGATCTTGATTCTATCCCTCTGTTAATGCAGCCTAGCACTGTGTTGGCTTTTTTGGCAGCTGCATCACAATTCCCTCCTACAGTATCAATTCCCTCCTAGTATCAAAGCACAATTCCCTCCTACAATTAACTGTCATAAATCACATTCTCCAATTAGTTTGAAATGTAGACCTTCCCTCCAGTTCTCCAGCCCGCCAGTTCTTATCACCTCTTATTCAAAAACCTTGGTTCTCACGCTAGTTACAGTATTGTTATGTCTAACTAAACTCCCGTGCACATTCCTCCCCCTCCCCCTCCAGTATCATCTAACTCTAATTCTAAGAGTAAAACATAAGAAGGAAAATGGCTGCATCTCCATACGTTGTCAAAGCAAGAACATCCGATGTTAGCAGCGTTGACAGGCATCACATGACCCTCGAGTGCTGCAACTGTCCTAAGTACATGCCAGTGGCCAATTGCCCAAGTTTTGATCACGTGACCAGGGGGATGATGCCACGGGCCTAACTCGCTGCTTTCAGGGCCGTTGAAAATGAGAGAAACTCAATATAGATCTAATTTGTTTGCAAGAGAGACACACATAAAAAGACAATACTACAGACTGTTGGCATACCCCAAAACTGGGGAACTTTATCACGCATCGGCCCAACAGAAAAAAAGAGTAGCTGTAAATAATAATAATAATAATAATAGTAGTAGTAGTAGTAGTAGTAGTAGTAGTAATAATAATAATAATAATAATAATAATAATAATAATAATAATAATAATAATAATAATAATAAAAAAGTTGGAAGGGTCTTGGAGGTCATCTAGTCCAACCCCCTGCTCAGGCAGGAAACCCTATACCATTTCAGACAAATGGCTGTCCAGTCTCTTCTTAAAAACTTCCAGTGTTGGCGCATTCGCAGCTTCTGGAGGCAGGTTGTTAATAATAATAATAAAGTTGGAAGGGACCTTGGAAGTCATCTAGTCCAACCCCCTGCTCAGGCAGGAAACCCTATACCATTTTGGACAAATGGCCGTCCAGTCTCTTCTTAAAAACTTCCAGTGTTGGAGCATTCACCACTTCTGGAGGCAGGTTGTTCCACTGGTTAATTGTTCTGTCAGGAAGTTTCTCCTTAGTTCTAGGTTGCTTCTCTCCTTGGTTAGTTTCCATCCGTTGCTTCCGTATATCAAAGTAATTTTGAACGGTCATTAAATGAACGGTTGTAAGTCAAGGACAACCTGTACTTACTCCCTTCTTCGCAAGCACACCCTATAATTTCTTAGGCTGCAAAGCCCCCCCCCCAATTCTCCAAACTAAAAGACAGTAAAAATTCCTTTCAAGCAGCCTTTTGAGGTAGTCCAGACCAGGAACCGAAAGTTAGGAAAGCTAATGCTAGTTTTTATTACACAATTACTGTCAACGCTGCTAACATCGGATGTTTTTGCTTTGACAACAGTTGGAGATGCAACCATTTTCTTCCTATGTTTTACTCTTAGAGTTAGAGCTAGAGTTAGATGATGCTGGGGGGAGGAATGTGCATGAGAGTTTAGCTAGACATAACAATATTGGACCTAGCGTGAGAACCAAGGTTATTGAAACAAGAGATGATAAGAATTGGCGGGGCTGGAGAACTGGAAGGAAAGCCCGCATTTCAAGCTAATCGGGGAATGTGATTTAGGACTGTTACTTGGAGGAGGGAATTGTGCTTTGATACTATGTGCTCAGGGGAGGGGGGAATTCAGTTTTTGGCTTCGATTGCGTTAGTGCAGATGCTATGCTACTCGAGTAAACGATCCTTTAAGGTAAACAACGCCTCGAAGTTCTTTGAAGAGTTTCATCGGTCGGAACCATGACATTTACATTAACAGAATTTTGCAACCATGAATGTGCTTCCTTCCTCTCTTTTTTTAAATGCTCGAGAGAACCAGGGAAGGTCCATTTCTGAAACTGCCTGTTTTGCACCCCAAGTGGGCTTGTGGTTAAGCTTACCTTAAAAAACACCTCTCGTCTCTATTGTGCTGGGAGACGACAGAGCGGAAACAGTCGGCTTTCTCGGTCTTTTTCCAGCACCAGATCCAGCTTCTCTCTAACTCCAGAATAGCAATGGCTCTCTGCAATTAGGGAACGGTGGGTGAAGAGAGCTTATAAATCAGACAGGGGGAGGGAGGGAGGGAGGGAGGGAGGGAGGAGAGATAGAGATGGATGTATACTAATACCAACACTAAAGAATATTTTATCTCAGGATTGAAATATGGGGTCCTTGGTGCCCTCTGAGCTGGGTGGTTTTCTTGCAGACATTTCAAGACCCAACTAGGTAATATCATCAGTGTTAGAAGGGAGTGGAATTTGCAGCAGATGAGGAGGAGGAGGAGGAGGAAGAGGACTGTGGGGTCCTTGGTGCTGTCTGAGCTTG